CGATCACCCTCGCGGGCTCCGACGAGGGCATTCACTGCAATTTGGACACGGTCCTCGGGTGGTGGCTCGCTCTCGGCCTCGGGTTGGCATGGCGGAGAGGAATTTTCACCCGGGGGGCCCGTGTCTGGATCGGCGTCCAGTTCGAGTTGCGCGGTGCCGTTTGCATCCGTGACCCTGCCGCCGGAGACTTTGAAGGCGACGGCGGACATGGTGGGTGCGTTCCGCGGGGGGGCCGGCGCGGCCCCTTCTGCCTGGCGCGCGGGGTCGCGGGCGAGGTGTCGCGCGTTGTGCAGTTCGTGCCAGAGGCGCGCCGTTTCGCAGCTTCCTTCTGGGCGGCCCTGGCGGCCGCCGAGCAGGCGGCGGCGTCGGCGCGGCCGGGGGCGCCCCCAGGGCGCGTCGCGATTCGCCGCCTCACCGCGGCCGCGGCGTGGGCGCGGGCGCTCATCAGAGGCGCCGTTCTGCCCCTGACCCCACGAGGTGCGCCGTCGGCGGGACATGCGCCGCCTCCCGGCCGCGCTGGCCCACGTGGAATTCGATGCTTTCCAGTGGAGGGGGGGGGGCAGCGAGATCCTCTTCGGGAAAGGCGCCCAACGCGAATGCCTTGCGTTCGTTTGGCCGAGCGAGCTCCGGCGGCGGTTCAACGCCGAGGTCGGTAATTCCAAGTGGCAGACCCTGTTGCAGTACGTCGCCATGTCGTCGCCCAGCTGGCGCGGGGCACACCGTTCGCGGTCGGCCAGGTCCTCGCGATCAAGGGGGGCAGCCTCGCGGCGCTCGCGGGCGCCGGCGGTCTCGCATCTACCGTCGGAGGCCAACGAGCTGGCGGGCGCTTTCTCGTGATTGGCGGCTGCTCCCCCAGTCGCTTTTCCATCGGCGTTGCGCTGGCCGCTCGCGCACTCGAGCTCGATTTGATTTGGCAGGCCTGGTTGGGGGATCCGCCTCCGACTACTTGTCTGTGAACCAGCTTGTGTCGGGCGGCGCTGGTTCCCCCCGCCGACGCCGAGGGCGCCGCCGGGCCGGTGGGCGCCGTGATTCTGATATAAAACGAGGGGTGTTTGGAAGGTGCGGCAGGAAAGGCTTGGGCTTCATGTTATCCACTATTTCCCTATGGTCGGATTCTGGTTCATGAAAATGGGTCGGGGAATTGTGAGCTGCCGCGGGGTGGTGATCTTTCCAACCGTTTCCCATTTTGCGCCGCCCTGCTTTGGGATGAGAGAATTGTAATTTACCGCGGGAGGCGAAGTCTCCAACCCTGCCTCCTGGGGGAGCTGGGTGCGGCGGCGGGAGGGGGGGTCGGCGCATCTCGCCGGCTAGTCTGTCCATCGGGGGACATCGGCGCCTCTCGGCGGCCCCGGGCGGCCCGGATGGCTCCCCGGATGGCTCCCTGGTCGGCGGGCGCTCCTGCCCCCCTCCCTCTTCCATTCCCGTGGGGAGAGGCCGGCGTGTGGGGGGGTCGGCACGAACGACATGGGCGCCGAAAGAATGGGTGCAACGCCCAGCAGCAGATCCTGTTCATCTTGAACAAGGCTGGCTGTCCACGTCGCCGCGGCCTGTGTCCAGGCAGAAGGCCGCCTGCCCATATCTCGTCAGGCGCGCCCCTCGCTTGTCGGGCCATCGGGGGCCATCGGCGCCTCCCGCCAGCCGCCGGCCCCCTTGCATGGTCGGCCCGGCTTCGCGCTCGCGCGCCTCCCCGGCTCAGAGCCATATAGGGGAGATCGGCGCATCCCGTCACTATCATAGGGTGTCTGCCGGCTCGAACTTCGGCCGTCGCGGCGCGGCGGAGCGCGGGTTCTCCCGCGGGGCGCGTCCGTCGGCCGCGTTGTCATGATTTGGCTCCGCTAGCCGCCGCCCGTTTTCGACGGGATCGAGGGGGGTCGTTGACGGCCGCCCCCCCGGGGGCCCATGCGGGGGGCTCGATCGGAAGGGCCCCCCCCTACGCGCTTTCTCGCCGGGGCCCGGGGGCGAGGGAAGGGCGCGCCCCGCGCCGAGTGTGGCCGCGCCGCGCGGGGCTTCGGGGGGCTGGGGGCGACCTCCCCCGATGCCCGCCTCGGCGCGCCGCGGGCTTGGCGCATTCGGGGGCGGGGGCGCGGGCCCGGCGCGTTCGGGCGCGGGGGTGATGCTGATGGCCCCAGGTCAGGCGACGGTGAGACCTCGGCCCAGTCAGCGTCGGCGGCTGCCGGCGGCCAGGGCGCCCTGGCCCGCAGGGCGTTGCCAGGTCTGCGCCGTGACGCGCCCGGCAGACGTTGATCGGGTCCATGCTGGACTTGCGGGAGGGACGGGCGCGCCAGCGCGCCTCGTCGAGTTTCGCCAAGTCGGTGTGCGCGACGACCTCGAGGACAGCTTTGGTTTCGCGGATTCGTGCACGTGGGCGCCTCCTGGCTTTCTGGGACCTAGGAGCGAGCCTCAAGGCGGGCAGGTGCCGCTCGGCGCGGCTTTGCTTTTCAGCAGCCGTAGTGGAGTCAGCGAGAAGGGGGCATCTGGTCGATTCTGGCATTCGGCGCGTAGTTAAGACGACATGCGAGCGGGGCCAGGGGCCGGCTGCGCAGGCGCCCGACCCCCCGTTCGAGGAACTGCGCTGCCTCCCACGCGGGCGCGAGCCATGGTTCTCAGGAGGCCCGGCAAACCCGCGCCTCCTCATCATCGCGGGGTCGTGGTGGCTCCTCAGGGAGGTCGAGGTGTCCGCGACTCCCGCGCCGTCGGGTACTTGGAGTTCGGTTCGCTGCAGGTCGCTCGGGGCCTCCCCGCGTCGAAGGCCGACCCAGTGGCCCTCGGCGCCGCGCGCTGGCGGGCGCTGCTGCGGGCGGGGGGGGGGGGGGGGGGGGCGCGTGGCCGCCGTGCGCCCCGCGCGCGCGGTGGCCTCGCAAGCCCGGTGGCTTAAGAGCGCGTTTCCGGAGCGTTTCGCGGGCGGATGGCCACGCCTCGAATCCCGATGTTCCCATGCGAGCGCGGGCAGGCATGCGCGATGCAGGCCGTCGCCGCAACCGCTCAGCACGCGGTCCGCTTTCTGGGCCTGGAGGTGCATGGGACCGCTGTCGAGGTTCGCTGGACTGGCCGCTCGCTCCGCGTCGCCGGGGCGCAGGAGCTCGCGTTCGACGTCTGGGATAATTATCCAGCTCTTCGGGCGCTGGGGCTTGGATGCGGTCTTTTGCTGCGCCCGGAGGCGCCGCTCGGGCAGTCGGGCCTCGCGGGCGTCGGCGGGCCTGCCACTCGACGAGGTCCATCGGCGCGTGCTGCTGGAGAGGGGTGGCGAGCAGGGGGCTGCCGAGTGGGGGCGCGCCGCTGCGCCGGCGGGGGGGGGGGGGGCGTCCAGCTCATAAGGCTCGCCGCTGCGCAGCCGACAGCTTTTGCCGGCAACTCGCCACCAATGTTTCCTCTCGCGAGGCCCCCGTCGCCTCGCTGCGCGGAGCTTCCTTCGCGGCGGAGCTGCAGGGTTTCAGGCGCCTCTGCGTCGAAGGAGCCGAGTTCGTAGAGAGCCTCAAGACCGGCGTCAGGAGGGATCCACGCGCGTCGCGCCTGGGGGGTGGCGGACCTCCTGCGGGTGGGCTTTCGGCATCGCCGACCACGGGGGGCTCGAGTCCGCCGACAGGCCGTACAAGCTCTTGTGCGAGAAGTGCATGCCTGGGGATAGAGCGGCGGCGAAGGCAGCTTTAGCGCGTAGTGCTGCCGCGTGCGCGGAGTACGGTGCTCCGGCATAAGGGGGGCCGTCGGTGACTGCATCGGCTCGGGGATGTGCCCAGGCGCAGGCGCGGCCTCCGCCCATGCCCGTCTGTGAGTCCGCACCGCCCCGTGGCGTGGGATAGCGAGAGCGCGCACATGTGGGGTGGGGGCAGGAGAGGGAGTCACATGTCGCTCGCGTGCCCATGGCCACTTGTGCGTCGAGCTCCGCTCCCGAGCTCACAGCCGTGCCGTCGGTCGCCCAAGATTTCCCCCCAGCCACCGCCCTGAACATTACATTTCCTGGTGGTGAAGCCTTCGAGTTGTCGAATTCAGTAGGCACGGGAGGGGTCTGGGCTTAGGGGGGCCATTGGTGCCTGCGTCGGCTCGGGGAGGTGCCCGGGCGCAGGCGCGGCCTCCGCCAATGACCGTGTGGGAGTCCGCACGGCGATCCGCGGCATGTGATAACGAGAGCACGCACATGTGAGCGCACTCCAAGTTCCTGCACTGACCCCTCCAGCCTTTGCTAAAACCTGAGCGCGCTCGACGAAGCCCGCGCGATGGTTCTAGTTGTGTATTGGCACGATTGGAGATCCTCAGACGTTTGATAAGGAAATTCGGAGGAAAGGTTTATTGCAAAATTTTGATGCGCCTTGGATTTGCACTTACATTGGTCCTCCTCCTCCTTCTCCTCTTCCTCCTTCTCCTCCTCGTCCTCTCCTCCTCCTCCTCCTCCTCCTCCTCCACCTCCACCTCCTCCTCCTCCTCCTCCTTCCCCTCCTCCTCCTCTCCCCTCCCTCTCTGCTTTAGCTCTTCCCCTTCCTCCACCTCGTCCTTCCCCTTCTCCTCCTTCTCCTCCTTCCTCTCCTCATCCTCTTCCCCTCCCCGTCCTCCTCCTCCTTTTCCTTTTCTCCCCTCCCTCTCTGCCTTAGCTTTTCCCCCTCCTCCACCTCGTCCTTCCCCTTCTCCCCCCCTTCCTCCCTTCCTCCTCCTCCCCCTCCTCCTTCTCCTCCTCTTCCTCCTCCTCCTCCTCCTCCGCCTCCTCCTCCTCCTCCTCCTCCTCCTCTTCCTCCTCCTCCCCCCCTCCTCCTCCTCCTCCTCTCCTCCTCCTCCTCCTCCTCCTTTTACTCCTCCTCCTCCTCCTCCTCCTTCTCCTCCTCCTTCTCCTCCTCCGCCTCCTTCTCCTCTTTCTCCCCCTGTCCCCTTCCCCCTCCTCCTCTTCCCCCTCCCGTTCTCCTCCTTGTTCTCCTCTTCCTCTTCCTCCTCCTCTTCCTTCTTCTCCTCCTGCTTCTCCTTGGTATCCTGCTTCTCCCCCTCTTCTTGTCCGCCAGAAGTCGGTCCCGCGCGAGGTTGAGACCGAGGAGTTCAGAAATCCAGACTGCCAGCTGGATGAGCAGGAGTGTATCCTCCCCCCCCTGAGGAGGATGGGGCCGCAGGAGTGCAGATCGGCGCGAGGACAGCGGAAAAAAGGGAAGGTCTGGCCAGAACAAACAGGTTCGCATTCCATGCGTGCGGGCGTCTGAAAGGTGGGTGCCCAGGCAGGCAGGTTTGTGGAGGCAGGCAGAGTGGGCAGTTGAGGGTAAGGCCCTGAAATTGAAGCATTCCCTTACCAGTCGTTCCGGTTGATCAGGGTCAACCAAAACCGCCCAGAAACCTCGAATCCCGAGCCTCGATGATCCTCCCCCCCGTCCTTCTTCCTACATCAGTCAGTCTCTTCCCCTCTTCCATGCAGACACGTGTCGCTGGCCGGTCCGAGGGGTGCCCAGCAGGGCGACGAAGCCTTCGCCTCCCTCCAGGTTGTGGTGCCTTGCTTGCTGCTTCTGGTACACCGTTGGCACGCAAGTGCATCCACCTGCGAAGCGATCTCCTGAAGTCAAAGAAGGCGTCAAGTAGCTTCTGCTCAGCTCGAAGATCAGTTCAAGGATCCCTACGCCCTACGCCCAACCTCAGAACCAATCCTTCCCTCGTAGTTGCGGATCTATTTGGCCGACTTTCCTTACTTCCTTCCTTCTAGCGGCCAGAGGCTGCTAGCCTTTCCTCCCTCATCCCGGGCCCATTTCGACCCGCTCGATCCGGTTCGATGGCGATTCTGGCCAGCCAGATCCAGTTCCGTTCTGACATCCTGACGATACGATGCGGCCCGGTGCTTGTGCGCCGAGGCGCGTTCATCCTGTCGCAGACGATCTTGTTCGATTTAGGCTCCGTGCCGATGCGCGATGCATTGGAGCGTCACAGAAATCAGGGTCGAACGCGCCGACGTTCGCGCAAAACTTGCCTGCGCAAGATGGCGCGTGAGCGCCCTCGTTTTCAATGTAGCGTGCCGCGCTGGCGGACCGCGTAGGCCACCGCGTAAGGTCGCTGTGCCCTCTCGAGACCCGCCTCTCCTTGTCGTCGCTCAGACGCCGCCTCCATCCGATCTCCGAGCCGATGCTTGCTGATCTTGCCTTCCGCGCCTGACCGCGGCGGGGAGGACTGCGTCTTCTCGGACTGGTCGGAGTGGACGGGGTGCGGGCCCCCTCCTCAGACGAGTCGGTGCCAGCCCCTCCACCGCGCGCCCGGCTTTCGGCGCATAGGGGCCACGAGCGCGAACGGCGACTGCGACCGCGACGACCACGAGCGACGACGGCCAGCGGCGACGAGGCACGACGACGACCGCCACGAGCGACCGGCGACCACCGGGGCGTCGAGGGGCGACGCCGACGGACGAGGAAAACACCATGACGGTTAACGGTGACGACGACCGGGACAACCATGATCGACGACCGCGGATATGGACAGACGGCGAAGACGACGAACGGCGACGACCACGAACGACGACCGCGAATATCGACGGACGACGGAGACGACGAACGGCGACGAGGATCAACGTATTGCGGAGGAGCGAGGAAGTAGGAGGAGCACGAGGAGGACGAGGATGACGAGCAGGATACGTAACGATTTAGCATAGTAGCAAGACACGATTCTTGGTGGCAAGGAGGAGGACGGAGTATGAGGAGGGCGAATAGGAGGAACATGATGATGAAGACGACGCAGGTGATGATGAAGATAATGATGATTATGATGATGATGATGATGATGATGATGATGATGATGACGATGATAGTGGTGGTGGTGGTGATGATGAGGAGGATGACGAGGATGAGATACCGGGTCAGGAGGGGGATGCTGATGATGATGATGGTGATGATGGTGATGATGATGATGATGATGATGATGATGATGATGATGATACTGGTGGTGGTGGTGGTGGTGGTGATGATGAGGAGGATGACGAGGATGAGATACAGGGTCAGGAGGGGGATGATGATGATGATGATGCTGATGATGATGATGATGATGATGATGATGATGATGATGGTGGTGGTGGTGGTGGTGGTGGTGATCATGATGATGATGATGATGGTGGCGGTGGTGGTGACGATGGTGACGACGAAGACGATGATGATGCTGATGATGGTGATGGTGCTGATGACGATGCTGCTGCTGATGATGATGAAGCTGCTGCTTATGATGATGATTATGACGATGATGATGATGATGACGATGATGACGATGGTGATGATATTGATGATGATGTTGATGATGATGACGATGAGGACGATGATGATGCTGCTGCTGATGATGATGAAGTTGATGTTGATCATGCTGATGATGCTGATGATGCTGATGATGATAGTTCTGATGATGCTGATGCTGATGATGCTGATGCTGATGCTGCAGTTGATGTTGATGATGATGCTGCTGCTGCTCCGGCTGATGAGGTTGTGGATGAGGATGAGGATGATGATGATGCTGATGATGATGATGATGATGATGATGATGATGATGATGATGATGATGATTATGATGACGATGTTGATTATGATGCTGGTGATGATGATGATGATGATGATGATGATGATGATGCTGACGATGATGATAATGCTGATGACGATGCTCATGATGATGCTGCTGATGATGCTGGTGATGATGCTGATGATGATATTGCTGCTGTTGATGATGATGATGCTGATGGTGACGGTGATGGTGATGGTGGTGGTGATGATGCTGATGATGCTGATGCTGAAGATGATGATGATGATGATGATGATGATGATGATGATGATGATGATGATGATGATGACGATGATGATGATGATGATGATGATGATGATGATGATGATGATGATGATATGATGATGACGATGATGATGATGATGATGATGATGATGATGATGATGATGATGATGATGATGCTGATGATGATGATGATGATGATGATGATGATGATGATGATGATGATGATGATGATGATGATGATTATGATGATGATGATGATGATGATGATGATGATGATGATGATGATGATGATGATGATGATGATGATGATGATGTTCATGATGATGATGTATTTGATGATGATGATCATGTTGATGACGATGATGATGATGATGATGATGATGATGATGATGATGATGATGATGATGATGATGCTGATGCTGATGCTGATGCTGTTGCTGATGCTGATGATGAGGAGGAGGAGGAAGAGGAAGAGGAGGAGGGGAAGGACTTAGAGGAGGAGAAGGAGGGGCCGGGGGATTGTGGACCCCCTAGTCGTTTTCATAAGGTTTTTATCGAGTGCAACGCTCTTTCACCCTGAACTTTTGTTTTTTTTTGTAATTTTTCTTTTCGCCGTGATCCCCTCATACTAATCTTTTCTCGTTATATCGTTCTCTAGTGTTCTCTCTCTCTCTCTCTCTTTGTCTCTCTCTCTCTCTTTGTCTATCTCCTGCACCAGGCCAATGCATGCCGATGCGATACACATCCATTCCCAACTAACACCGTTGCCAACGCAATGCCGATGGGTGAATCCTTTCGTTCTGTGGATTTCAGTAAGAAGACTTTGTGGATGATGTCAACACGAATCCTTCTTCGGAGGATTTCAATAGCAATGCTTATGTTCAGGGTTTCGATAGGGATCCTCATGTGGAGGGTTTCACTAGGAATCCTTCACGTGGGAGGATTCAATCGGAATCGTTATTGTGGAGGGTTTCAGTAGGAGTCCGTCTGCGGAGGGAGCCATTAGGACTCGCCAGCGCAATGCCAACGCAATGCCAAAGCTTTGCCATCGCAATGCCAAACCAATGTCAAGGCGATCCCAATTCAATGCCAATGCAATGCAAATGGGCGGTATCCTTTGTGGTGGATCCCAAAAAGAATCCTACCCGTGGAGGGTTTCGATTGGACTCCTGCCGTGGGGGGTTTCATTATGAATATTCTATGTGGGGGGCTTTCGAAAGGATGCCTTCTTGTGGAAGGTAAGGCATCCTTCATGGTGGGAGCCATTCGAATTCGCCAGCGCAATGCCGAAGCAGTGCCAACTCAATGCCAAACCAATGCCAATGCAATGCCAATGGGGGGGAATTGTTTGTGGTCGGTTTCAATAGCAATCCTTCTAAGAACCCTTCTTCGGGGGATTTCAATAGGAAGCCTTCTATTGAGGGCTTCGCATGGAACCCTTCTGTTGATGATTTCCGTTTGGATCCTTCTTGTGTGGGGGGGTTCAACAGACATCTTTTTTTGTTGGGGTGTTCAACAGAGATCCTTCTGTAAAGTGTTCGAGTAGGACTCGCCAGCGCAACGCCAACGCAATGCCAATGCACTGCTAACGCACTGCCATCGCATGCGATGTCAATGCGATGCCAAACCGTTGCCAAATCAAAGCCAATGCAATGCCGATGGCGGGGTTCCTGTCTTCCAACAGATTTCAGTAGGAATCCTTCTGTGGATGATTTGGTTACGAATACTTCTTCGGAGGATTTCAATAGGAATCCTCCCGTGGAGGGTTTCGATTGGAATCTTTCTGTGGGGGGTTTCACCTTGAATCCTTCATGTGGGGGCTTTCCAAAGGATCCCTTTTTGTGCTAGGTTTTCATAGGAATCCTTTTGTGGGCGGAGCCATTAGAACCCGCCAGCGCAATGCCATCGCAATACCAATGCAATGCTAAACCAACGCCAACACGATCCCAATTCAATGCCAATGCAATGCCAATGGGGGAAATCGTTTGTGGTCAGGTTCAAGAAGAATCCTCCCATGGAGGGCTTCGAATTGAATCCTTCCGTGTGGGAGTTCAATGTGAACCCTTCTTGTGGGATGCTTCAATCGGACTCTTTCTTGTGGAGTGTCCAACAGGAATCATCATGCGAAGGGATGTGCTGGAACTCGCCAGTGCAATGCCAGCGCAATGCCAGCGCAGTGCCAACGCAATGCCACACCAATGCCAAAACGATCCCACCCCAATGCCAATGCACTGCCAATGGGGAAAATCCTTTGTGGTAGATTTCGTTAGGAATCCTTCTGTGGGGGGTTTCGCATGGAATCCTTCTGTGGAGGGTGTCAATAGGAGTCCTTCTTGTACAAGGTTTCGATCGGAGTCCTTTTGTGGAGGGTTCCATTAGGGCTCGCCAGCGCAATGCGTGCGAAACGCAAACGCACTAGCAATGCACTGCCAAGCGCAATGCCAACGCAATGCCAATGCGATGCCGAACCATTGCCAAACCAATGCCAATGCAATGCCACAGGGGGTTCCTTCTTTCGAAGCATCTCAATATCAAACAAGATTTTCATAGGAATCCTTCTGTGGGGGGAGCCACTAGAACTCGCCAGCGCAATGCCAACGCAATACCAACGCAATGCCAAACCGATGCCAAAGCGATCCCAATTCAATGCCAATGCAATGCCAATGGGGGAAATCGTTTGTGGTCAGGTTCAAGAAGAATCCTCCCATGGAGGGCTTCGAATGGAATCCTTCCGTGTGGGAGTTCAATGTGAACCCTTCTTGTGGGATGCTTCAATCGGAATCCTTCCTGTGGGGGGCTCAACAGGAATCATTTTGCGAAGGGAGGTGTTGGAACTCGCCAGCGCAATGCCAACGCAGTGCCAACGCAATGCCACACCAATGCCAAAACGATCCCAACCCAATGCCAATGCACTGCCAATGGGGGAAATCCTTTGTGGTAGATTTCAATAGGAATCCTTCTGTGGAGGGTTTCGCATGGAATCCTTCTGTGGAGGGTGTCAATATGAACCGTTTTGTGGAGGGTTTCAATAGGAGTCCTTCTTGTTAACAAAAATCGATCGGAGTCCTTCTGTGGAGACTTCCATTCGGACTCGCCAGCGCAATACTTGGGAAACGCAAGCACACTAGCAACGCACTGCCAAGCGCAATGCCAATGCGATGCCAATGCGATGCCAAACCATTGCCAAAACCAATGCCAATGCAATGCCAATGGGGGGTTCTTTCTTTCGAAGCATCTCACTATCAATCCTTCTGCGGGTGATTCCAATAGGAGTCCATCTGTGGAGGATTTCAATAGGAATCATTCAGTGGAGGGTTTCGATAGGAATCCTTCTGTAGAGAATTTCACTATGAATCCATCTTATGGGGGCGTTCAATAGGAATCCTTCCAGGGGGGGAGGGCAGATGCGGCCACGTCGCATTCGTTTTTTTTCGCCGCCGACCCCCCCCCCC